TGTAGAAGAAGAGATAGTAAAAAATATGGACAGTAAAATGGCAATAAATACATATCTACCAACAATTGAATCTACAATCAAAATGAACAAACAGAACAGAAACAGACTCATAGATACTGAGAACTCTTTGTTGGTTGCCAATTGGAAGAGGGGTTGGGGAGATGGGTGAGAAAGGTGAAGGAGTTAAGAAGTATAAATTGGTTGTTACATAATAGTCATCAGGTAGAGGGGGTCAATGGGGGAAAAGGAGGGGCATTAGTAATACCTTCAACAATACAGATAAATACTTTTTAAAAAGTAAATTTTTGTCTGGCCAGTGTGGCTCAGTGGTTGAGCATCGACCCATGCACCAAAGAGGTAGCCAGTTTGATTCCAGGTCAGAACATATGCCCCGGTTGTGGGCCAGATCCCCAGTGGAGAGCATGCAGGAAGCAGCCAATCAATGTTCATTCTCACTGATGTTTCTATCTCTCTCTCCTTCTCACTTCCTCTCTCTCTAGGAAAAAAAAAAAAAAATCAATAAAGAAAAAAAAATTTAAGTAACTTTATGAATAAGAGCAATTAAATTGCATTGGTAGCACTTTGATCATTCAATCCATTCAATACGCTTTTCTAACTGAGATGTCCTTCAACAAGTGCACCTGGTCAAGGTTGTCTGCCTCCTGTCCTGTTTCTATGTTTGCTGTTAAAATACAGTAACATTTGTTAAAGAAACTGTAATGAGGCCGTTAAACTGTCAGGTTTACCTTGCTTCATGCAATACATATACTCCTAAAAAGTTGTACCAAAGTAGCATTTTTGGTAAATGGTTTCATATTTTATATTTTTGTATAAAATAAAAACCAACACTAAATTATTTTATATGCATAAATTGACATTTGCCATGCCCAGTTTGCTGGAACTGAAGTGCATCTATAAGAATTTTTTTAATTATATAAACACTGAACAAACATACATTAATTTATTAGTTCATTCAACAAATACTTATTGAGTACCTGTTGTGTACCAACCACTGCTCTAAGGAGCTGGGAATTCAGTTGTAAACAAGCCAAGGTCCTTTCCCGTGTGGAGATTATAATCCCCTGGGACAGTCAGACTAAACAAGTAAATAATTGCCTAATAAAACTTCAGGTAGCAAAAGTGCTCTGAAGGAAAATAATATAGGAAAGAGGAAGAGAGAATACTGGGAGAAAATGTATTTTAGACATTATATTAGCTTTCTATTGCTGCATAACAAATCACCACAAACTTAGAGGCTTAAAGCAACACATGTGTATTATCTCACATTATCCAAGGCCTGGAATCAAGGCCTATGATTTCCTGGGTTCTTTGCTTAAGTCTCACAAGGTTATGGTCAAGAGTTAGCCAGGGCTGGGTCAGATCTGAGGCTTCAGGTCCTCTTACCAAACTCATGTGTGTTGGCAGAATTCAGTTCCTACAACTGTAGAACTTGTGGAGGTAGAGGGACAATGTCTGTAACTACTTCTTCATCTTCTAAGGGCTACTCTGATTAGGTCAGGCCCATCCTGGATAACCTCTACTCAGTCAATGATTAGTAACCTACTCATGTGAATTAGATCCCACTGAATCACAGGTTCTACCTGCAATGGGACAGTAGTACACTGGGGAGTGGAGATCATGGGGGCCAACTTAGAATTTTCCCTACAAGAGACAGGAGAGCCAGGGAAGGACTTTTCATGTTAGTTACTTTTGAGAAAATACCTAGAAAAAGATATCAGAGACTGAGCTCTATAAAGGTAACTAGTAAAAAATTTAAAAGTACATGTGGGACTAGCTTTCTTGACTCACATTATATTTCTGTTGGCCAGTACTAGGACAGACGCTGGACAAATGCCTTATACCAAAGCTGAAAATAAGCACTATGTGCATTCCTGTTTTACCAGTGAGGACAACGAGGTTCCAAGAGGTTGACTAACACCCTCAAGTTCACACGGTCAAATGTGGGAAGACCAGGATGTGAGCCATTGTGAGGAACCAAGCTGCACAGCAGGACACAGGAATACCACGTGCGCTGTCACTCAGGGGACACACCCAGGAGCACTCAGGGTGGGCTTAATGCTCCACTATCACTATTTTGAGGTTCTTAATTTTATCTAACTCGGGTTTGTAAGTGAAGTCCGAGGAGACAATGGCGCATGAACATGAGCGGAGGGCATGCCAGCAATGTGAGTATCTGCCACTGGACCCATGATGGCGAGCGTTCAGTGAGACTCAACATGAGCACAAGGTAAGCATGTCATGTCCATGACTACGTAAACGGGAGTGCGATGGCCCTGAGAGGCTACACCCTTTCCATTTGAACCAGATGCCTTTTGGGGATCCTGAAAACAGCTGCACCCATGTGGTCCAGCGCAGGGGTAGTGATCGGGACGGGAGTGAGGGAGCACTGAGGAGGGTCCTTAGGAATCTGAAAACATCTGAGAATCCTAAACTAATGACTTATCTCCAGCAAGCCCCTTAAACAGCAGCACGTTAGGCTAATAGAGCTTCTGGAACACACTCCCCCTTGGAGACAATAGAACCAACTACAGCCTGAAATCTGGGACAGGACTTCTGTGTGGCGATGGACCTCAAATGGAACAATGTCATGGGGTTGTCTGGGGATCTCACTGTGCCCACCACCACCTCAGCCACTTCCATGGCTGCCTGAAGTGTCCTGGGAAGAGCTTTATTATAAAACTTAGGGGTTAGACATGTGTAACATATGTGAGATGTATTCCTGGGAGGAATGATGTTTTAAAATTTTATCGCTAATTTACAACTTACTGATAAAAACTAAAATTTGCTGATTAACATTCACAAAACTAAGAAAGTCTAAAGGAACTTTAAGTTCTGTACCCAGGTTTGTATAAGTTGGATTTGAGGATATATGTGGTCCTTGGTGTAAATGTCTGTGCACAAGCATAATTTCCAGGCAGTATCTCAGACTTGCAAGTAGTGGACATGGTGACACGGAAGTCAATGTCTCCAAACATTAAAAGGGAACCCAGGAAATATCTGGGTTACAGATGAAACAAACGGAGCATTTATTAAGGTAAATATATAACATGTTAAAAGGCGGATTGGAAAATAGGATAGCAGATTAGGGCAGAAGGACCAGGGCAGAAGGACCTAGAGGCTCAAGAGGGCTGGAGGGAATCTGCTGGGCTGGGAGGGGCTGTGGACACACCCTCTTGAAGGTTTAAACCTCCCCCACCCTCAGAAACCCTGTGTGACTCCACAATGCTCTGTGATGCAGGCCTGGCAATAAAGTCAAGAGTCTGCACTCTCAGAGCTCAAGCAGCTTTGCCATTTGGAAAATGGAACCCAGCATACTTCTGAATAACCTACCAAAGCTTTATCTGAGCTTCTACCCACAATCTTTAAATACTAACAGCAACCTTATTTACATCTGTTTATTGTGTTTGCTTCTCCTCCTCTTCATTTTCCTCTTGGGAAATCCATCAACCCCAACCTTCTGGGAAAATAAACATATACAAAAGGTAAGGAACTCTGAGTGAGCCTCAACAGACTAGTGTAAGAGACCAGACAGGTTTAGGGGTTCAGAGAGGACTCGGGTTTCCACAGGAGGCTCTCAGACCATCTGGGTGTGGGGCAGGTTTCTGGTTCCAAACACAGGGATTCTCTGGTTCTGGATCAAGTCATTCAGAGACTTGGGGATCTCTGTAGGACATCAGAGTTAACCAGCACTTCATCATGAGTCATACTGCCCAGTTAGGTATCACTAGACCATCCCTTCATGTCAATCTTATCAGGAGAACAGTGCTGAGCCTCTGAAAACCTCTGAGCAGAGGCTGCAGCCTGAGCACCGTCCCAGGTTACAGGATCCTCTCTGAGGAAACAAAAACATGATTGTAGACCTCAGATTGTGTGCCCTCAATGACCAGAGGACCACTGAGAACACCAAGCATGGACCTCATAGACAAAATCCTTCTTTTGAGTTTTTCAAAAAGGAAACATTAAAATCAGTTTAAACCTTTAAAATGTGGTAAAAGGAAGGGACACAAAGTTCTATTAATTACAATGAGTTTGGTTGGCCCAGAGAGACATTATTCTTGGGTAATAAATGTCAGAGTTTGCTAGGGAGAGGAGTGAGAGAATTGAGTCCCAAACACTCATTCTTTCATTTGTGTTCTCAGCATCAGGGCAGAGCCAAGAGGAGAAGGAAAGGTGGGACACTGAAAGGTAAGGCTCTGCCTATTCCACCTGAACTCCCCATGGGCGACCCTTTCTTTCTTCTTTCCATGAGGTACCAGGTCCATGATTTCTGTGTCACTTGGTAGATACAACCCCTCTCAGGAAACAGAGCCCTCAGAAGAGAGGCTCATGGAAAGACAGCCAGAACCTGAGATATTTCTCAGATTCCCTGATCTGCTGTACATGGATCTGAAACAGTGATGAACCTGAGCAGTGGTTGTTGCCCAAAAGATTTTGAGAGGAGACTTCTATCTCCTGACTTTGAGAAGGTACTTTGCCCTCAGGATCATCGGATTCCTCTTTGCTCTACCCATTAACCTTTCTGCTTCACAGAGTGGCTTTGAGAATCCAATGAAATAATGTACATAAAAGTACTTTATAAATGAAGTAATATACAAACATTGAGACCTTATTAATATTATTATTGACCATTTAACTTCATCTCATAATACTTGGGGTTTTAAGAATCTCATATCCAAATGGTCTCTCATATAGGGACTCCTGTTTAATGCCTACACATCTACCTTCATTGTATGTAACCCACTCTCCTGGTTTCCCAGGTTTGAGATATTACCACTGGGAAGAAGAGGAGAATATCCACCTGATTTCTGTCCTGAGAAGGTGACTAGTCTTTCCCCCTTTTTTCCTGATCTCTCTGTAGCATGTTCTACGCAATTCCAGGGATTCAGTGGAGCCTTCCATAGTCATGGGAGGGGTTGCCATAGGAACGGGCATGTGAGTGAATGCCTTGGGGTGGGTGCTGCTGAGTGCACTGTGAAGTCATGGGTGTGGAGCAATGGGAAGGGGCAGCAGGCTTCAGGTGGCCCCACCCCCACCAGGCCAGTAGATCCTCTTTGCAGTGTTCTTCTCCTGGCTTCAGTTTTGTACCTCCTGTCTCCTGCAGCCCCCTGGGCCAGCATCATGATACCAACTGCATTCGTCAGCTTTTATGTCCAGACCCCTCCTGTGAGGTGTGTAATAATGCAACCACTGAAATCCATCAGCTGCTGTACTCAGAGGGCCTGGAAGAGTCTACTCCCTCTGTGTCCCCTTGGGATCCCACAGCTTCTTCGACTGAGCCATTATTCACTCAGTCCTCTGCCATCTCAGCAGTCCCTCCAGGAGACCTAATACCACCTCCTCTGCCTGAGCCTTTCCCCCCTCCCCCCTCCGTTCTCTCCCCTAACCCAATGACCCCCGTGGGTAGTTTTCTGTCACACTCATCACCAGGTCAAACCCTGTCTCCAGAGCCTTTTCCTCCCTTGGAATTAGAATTCCCATTGCACCATTCCCCATTCCAACCCAAAGACTTGTTGTCTTCAACCTTGACACAATGTGATTTCCATCAAGAGTTTTCTGCTTCCCATTGTACAAAAACATTTTCTGGGGGAAACTCTGCAGCCAAACGTATAGATCCTAGACCCTTCTTATTTCTCAGCTCTGATGAGCATGGCTTGGTACAGCAGTACTCATATCCTAAGAACTGGGAGGACCTTTTAAAGAAAAAAATTATCCAGCTTTTCTGGGGTCTTCCATCTTTGCACAGTGAGTCCTTGGCCTCTGCTGTCCATGTCTCGAATGACTATTCCTCAGTCTTTATTTTCAATAGCATCTCAAATGACCCCACAGGCCAAGAATCCCTATCACTTCCTTATTTCCTACCTGAATTCTTGCCTAAGGTCCAACCTCAACCCTTGCCTCCAACCCTGCCACAGTCACAGCCCCTACATCTCACGCAGATCCAACACCAGGCCAACCTTCAATCCCCATTCCCAATCCTACCATCAAGTCCCACACCCCAACTTAGGGACTGTGGAGTATATTTTCATAGACCCCAGAATGAATCATATTTTCTCACCTCATCTGAAATTCAAGACCTGGAATGGAATGTGTTGAAGAAGAAACAGGAAAGTTTGTGGGGCTTACCCTCTGTGGTCCAAAGTTCACGGGAAGCCGCCTATCCTTCAGCTCCCACCATTCCTTACAGCAATTTCTCTAGCACTCATGTTTCAATTTCCATCAGTCCTGTAGAGTTTCCTCTCAGCAGTGAACTTCGAAAGAAGTTTGAGCATCACTTTAGAAAGAAGCTCATCCAACACCGGTGGGGCCTGCCCCGCAGGGTCCATGAGTCCCTGTCACTGATGAAGCCTCTGAGAAATCGCAAAGACATATCTGAGTCAAAGAGCAGTTACGGCCTCTCATGGATCTCTGTGTACAAGGACCAGAGTAGCAAAAATATAAATATTGGATTTAGCCAACAAGAAAGCTTCTATGAGAAGGGCTCAGAAATATTTCAGCTAGAGAAGGATGAGGGGCCAGATGAGGGAGAGAGCCAAGGGGATGATCCAAAAGATTATCTGCTGAGCGAGTCAGGGAGCTCTTCAGATAAGGACGTGAGAAATGACTGTGAGAAAGACCTAGACAGTTACATGATGAATCTGCCAGGAGGAAACTCAAAAATGTCAGGGCAGAGTATAAGTCCGAAGCAACTGAGAAAATCCCTGAAAGAACATCTGAGCAAGAATTTAGAGAACATTAATGAGGGTCATCTCCCTGGAATTGTGCATAGTTCATGGCACAATATCGTGCAGACTTCTCCTGTAAAACCCCACACCAATGTCGCACAGAGAAGTGCGCCCGCACCAGTGGGTGGGGACTACTGCCTGAATACATCCCAGGAGCTTTCCTTCCTTGAGTCCAGTACACAGCAGATGCTGGAAGCCCACATTACCAGCTTTGGTATGAGTATGTTGTTGGGCCTTCCTGCCAAAGTCCTTGAATCCATAGAAATTTTTAAAAAAAACACCTCATTCCATTCCTTGTTCAATCCTAAATCTAGGAGATACACAGCCCTGAGAGGAAGCTCTGAATCCCTTCATGGGGACAAAGTGAGAATAGAAAATTCAGCCACTGTCCTGAAGCTCCCTCTCCCTGCCACTTCACTTGTGGGCAGCGATGGACAGGGGGCTCTGAAACAATCACCCTCAGATATTAAACACGAGCTTGCAAAGGAAGTTCAGAGAGATTGGAATTCCGAACAGCCTCTTCTGCCAGTCACAGACAGCATCATTGACAACACAATTCAGAGTCATGCTCTGATACCCAATGTTCAACCCCCACAGCTGTCCACAATGCAAGCAGGGACCAGACATGAGCCAAAGGATAATAGTGTGAATGCCAGTGACAATGAAGAAATACTACAGAGCACAAATGGGGAGAAGTTAGAACCTGCTTCCATGCCCACTGTGTCCAAGGAGACAGTTAGTGTTGAGGAGCTTGATGTTCTTCAATCCAGTAGTAGTGACATCTTAACAACCAGCAATCCAGGAATCCCCCAAGAGATAAATGAGGCTGAGAATAAAGGAGAAACTACTGGGACCACTGAATTGTCTCCAATAAAACTGTCAATTCTCCAAGATCCCAAATTATCAGAGTTACAGAAGCAACTCATTCATGAGTTAAAGTCTAAATTGGAGAATGGGAACTACAGCCAGGCCCAAGGCCAACCCACTGACATGCACCATGACTCAGAAAGCTTGATTTGCAAAGCCTCCCTGACTCATGCTCAGAGTGTCTCCAGTGTGGATCCGGGAGCTGTCCAGGTGCTGCATGTCCATTTGGAGGACAAAGAAGTCAGTATGGAGCAGCAGCAGGAACCTTGGGTTCCTAAGCAGGTCTTAAGGATGTGTGAGGATAAGAATTCACAACCAGATGCAAAGAAAGTGAGACCTGCAGGCTCCCGATCAGAAGAGCTTGGTGGAGGAGATGCAGGGTTGAGGACTTCCCAAGCTAGAGGGAAGAGATTTCCTTCTCAGGTCACAGCATTAGAGGTGATGCATGCTGGGAAGCCTCCCCAGACCCTATCGCAGAAGGGACAGTCTCCTGATAGCCATTTCTTAAGTAAAATTAAGACCTTTTTTCAATGGCTTTATCCTGACAGAAAATGCACAAAGCAAGAGATCTCCCAGGAAAAGTGCAGTCCCATATTATCTGCACAGAGCAGAGGCCCAATTAAAAGTAGAACCCCCTTTACTAGAAGGATGGAAGTTCAGAGAATTATGTCAGACACTGAGAGGGTCCCAGAAGAGAAACAGAGGCGTCGGCATGCAGTAGATACCACCTGCACTCACGAGACCCTTCCCAGGGCAGTGAAATTTGGGAAAGCTCAGCAGAAAGCAGCTGTGGGGATCTGGGCAGAGCCTGTCCAGGGGCATCCCTTTAACTTGAGGGCTCCCTCCTCTAAAGTGATGAATATCAAGTGCAGCTGCCAAGCAGCTTCCTTCACTGGCCAGAGCTCCACAAGTAGCAGACATATCGGAAACGAGGGCAGACACCCCCAGAAAGTTGTGGCATTAAAGGACCAGCAACTATGTCAGAAGCACCCCCAATCTGTGCCCCGCAGGGGGACTGTGCCCCGTCCAAGCCCCACCTACAGGCCTCAAGCTGCCCAGGGACCTCCTGCTGCTCTCACCACTGCTGAAGGCACTGAGTTCAGAGATCAGTCTCTACGACTTAGACCAAAAACCCTTCCACAAAATGTCCAGGGAAAAAAAATTCCCACCCCAAAATAACTCCTTCCTTGTGAAGAATAATGACTTGTTTAATCAATGTGTTTCTAATAATAGTGATGTCTTTTCTGTGTTCTGTGTTGGGGCATCATGGGTTTGGGGCATCTCAGGGCTTGTGCTTAGGAAAAGGAAGGAGTTAGTTTAGCTCCTACTGATTGCCTCCTTGGTCTCCAAAACTGACCAGTCCCCCAGAGCTCTTGTTGAGAAATAGATATCACGTGCCCTCCCCCAAAGCCCACTTCCTCCCGATGAAGTTTGAGGAGATGGGCTCTGCCTCCTACCTCACAGCTCAGCCTTAGTGAACACGGACAGCAGCCTGCACCTGCTCCTCAGGGAATGCTTTACATCCTTTAGGGCAGAAGGGAAGACAGGCCTTCTATAGCTGAAGAAGATCAAGGACATTGGGGTAGGGTCTATGAACAGTATAGACCTTGCTCATTGATCGTTCTTGTGGGTCATGCTAACAAGTTAGGGACGCATACTTTAGACTTGACACTGGAGTATGCCTACTGGAAAGTCACCTTGGGGAAGTGGTTCCCATATCCCGGTGTTTCTTTAGGCTGAGGGGATGATTTTTTTTTTTTTTTTTTTGCTGAGCAAAAGCATCACTCAGCTTTCAGTGGTAGAAATGTTAACAAGGCAGCCACCTATCTGCGAGGTAAAATAAAAATGAAAAGTTAGCCCTGGCCGGTTTGGCTCAGTGGTTGGAGCGTCAGCCTGCGGTCCCGAGAGACCCGGGTTCAGTTCCCGCTAAGGGCACGTACCTCGGTTGCAGTTTGTCCCCGGCCCTGGTTGGTTGTGCGGGTGGCAGCCACTCGATGTGTCCCTTCACATCGATGTTTCTCTCTCTCTTCCTCTCTCTCCCTCCTGCTCTATCTGATCAAAAAATGGAAAAATGTCCTCGGGTGAGGATAAAAAAAAGAAAGAAAAGTTAGACAAAGAAGCCTTAGAGTGAGTGAAAAAGTAAGAACCAGTGAAGGGAAAGAGTGACCTTGCCGGTGGAACAAAGGTTTATCAGCCCCACACTGGGACACTGCCTTGCTCCCAGCTTCTTCAAACTGACCTAAGCTCTACCTTCCCAGGCTGGTCAGAGCATTGAACAGCATACTGATGAGTTATACCAAAAGGCATGATGGAAATATGTAAAATCTTGCCCTTTGTGTGTAAAGTTTACCTATTAGGATGGAGATGTCACCTTGGACATTCATGGCTTTGGTGGAGCTATAATAAATCTTCCAGTATACCTGCAGCTCATGAGCCAGAGGTGAGTTCTAGACTATGCACCAGGATTACAGATATTTGAGGGATCACCATGGACCTCCGTGGAATGCTGTTTTTTGTTTTTTGGCCAAAGCTGCACACATACCCACCCTTACTACAGCGGTCGGGAGGGAAGGCAAGTCCACTTGCACAGACTGAATCACAAATGGAGTGACTTCCTAGTGGGCACTTCGGGGAGCTTTCCTAGTGAGCCCTGTGAATCCTGGGTGTACAGAGGAAACACAAAACAAAAAAACACAGATGTGCACCACAGCCCCCTCTTACTACCACACTTGCGTCTTCTTGTCCAGAGTTATTCATTCACCCTACCATGTCTGAAGATTGGGTATCACAGGAATTGCATATCTGTGAAAGTCCTAGTGGGGACAGAAAGGTGGCATGGGCCCCAGGCAGGGAACTTGAAGAGGGGAGCAGGCAGTGGAGGGCTCTAATGTCCTGTGGACAAGCAGCCAGTAACCCAGCCCCCAGTTCCTACATCGTCTCATCTAGGGCCCTTTACTTCCCTGCAGTGCAGGTACTGCCACACTGTAGAGCTATCACCAGGCACACCTGTGCCTTCGGGAGTCCAGCCGGACCTGCCACACCTGTGGCCTCATCCCCTATCCTTCCAGCATAGATGCCCATGGTTAATTTTTCAACTCCAGGTTATTTTCCCACTCACTCCCTGTCCATCCATGAATCTCTTGTCGGCCTTCCTTACCCAAGTGTACTTGATGGTCTATCAGGTAACATTCAAAAAGCTCCACTACAATGGGCCCCTCCTAGTCCCCTTTAATCCTTCCTGTCTGGCAAATTTCAATTCTGTGTTTTTGCAGGGATGTCTTCCTATAAGTAACTGATCATTATTGGATTTAATCTCACAGTCAATTCTACTGGTGCCGCGGAACTACTTGGAACTCATTCATTCATTCCACAAATAAAGATGTCATGCTTACTAACATGTGAACAAAACAAATGGAACTTAGGTCCTTGTTTCCTTAGTCCCTTCTCTCCCCAGAGCTACTCAAAAGTATTTGAAGTCTCACTTCCTCAAACTGAGGCAATGTCCACTCCAACCTCAAAGGAATTATACTGCCTGGAGCCACCTTCCGGAGAGAAAGCTAGATCTCCTTCTTGGTGGCCTGGTGCACCCCTGCCAAATATCCTTTTGCCCCTTCCCTCTCCTTGTGAGGTACCCATCTTTTATTTTTGTAAAGCTTGTAAACACAGAAATGTCTAAACATGCATAAGAGCAGACAGAACAATTATCTTCCCTTGTACCTTCACCCAACTCCCACGATTATCACCTGGCCTGTGTAATACACCCCATTTTCACAGCACAGTGAAAAGGCCCTTTGAACACCTGGTCGTCCGTCTCTCGGACACATGCTCTGTGCGCATGTCCGCGCGCTCACTGCTCTTGATGGTCTCCACGCGTGGATCACCCTGATTCTGCGCAGACGTGCCGGCGTCCAGCTCTCGAGGTTTGGCATCAGGTCTGCTCGCCTGTCAGTCAATCCTGAGGGTCAGGTGAGTGAACGCTTCTCTCAACTGCATACGAGACGTAATCTCACAGAGCAAACCCGGTGCACAGCACTGCTGTTCCTCAGTCACACAGAAACTATGCTAAATGCTAAATGTATACAAGTAGAAAACTACAGAATGGACATCGCTATATGTTTTCAATTATTTGGAAGAAAACTTTTTCTGTCATGCATGAACATGACTTAAACATAGTAGATCAGACACAGTATTTTATCGTTTTCTTCCCTGAATGCCATTAAAAGTAAAATATTAGAGGAAAAGATGCTCATTATCACTAGCCATCAGGAAAAAATGCAAATCAAAACAGTATGAGGTAGCAACAGACACAAAAAATGACTAGAATAAAAAATTCAGCCCTGGCCAGTTTTGCTCAGCGGTTAGAGCATCGGCCCGCAGACCAAGGAGTCCCGGGTTCAGTGCCCGCTAAGGGCACGTACCTTGGTTGCAGTTTGTCCCTGGCCTTGATTGGGGTTGTGTGGGTGGCGACCACACGATGTCTCTCTCTCACGTCAATGTTTCTCTCTTTTTCTTCCTCCCTCTCTCTCTCCTGCTTTATCTGAAGATAAATGCAAAAATGTCCTAGGGTGAGGATACAAAAAAAAAAAAAAATTCAGAAAAGTGTCACTGAGAATGTAGAGAGAGTGGAACCCTCATATGCTGTTAGTGGGAATGAAAAATGTGGCAGCAACTTTGAGAAATATTCTGGTCCTTTCTCAAAATTTCAGAGTTTCTATATGACCCAACAATTCCACCTCTATATACTCATGAGAAATGAAAACACATGTCCTCACCAAAACGTGTAAACAAATGCTCAGAGCAGTAGTATCCAGTACTCCTAATAGTCAAAGGTGGAAACAGCCCAAAAGTCCATCAACTGATGAATGCTGAATAAAACACGGTGTATTCATGCAGTGTAATATGTTTTGGCAATAAAAACTTTTAATACATGTTACAACATGGATGAACCTTGAAAGCTAAGTGAATAAAGCCAGTCACAAATGATCACATATGATTCCATTCATATGAAATGCCCCAAACAGAGGAAACTAGAGAAATAGACAATACATTAGAGGTTGCTTAGGACTGGGGGTGGGGAAGGGGAGGAGAGGGATGATAACTAAAGGTTATAAGGGTTCTTTCTGAAGTCATGAAAATGTTTTAAAAATGACTGTGGGGTGCACATGTCTGTGAATATAGTAAAATCATGAAATTATGCACTTTAAATGGGTGAATCGTATGGGGTGTGAACTCTAAAGTAAAACAAATAAAGGATTTAAAGGGAATAAGTTCTTGAGAAGGACAAATAGGGGAGAGGACAAGACAGCAGATGTGCCCCATTTCTGGAAGCTGGGCATCCAGGGGCGGAGGCTCCGTGAGCAGCAGAGCGGAGGAAGTGCTGGCAAACCCAGTCACCACCAACCCCGAGACCAACCCTCTGGGGGCCCTGACAGGGAACAAGGGGTTCCATGCGGTAAACATCTTGAATTTTCTTTTATTATTTAGTATCATTTAATTTTTTTTTAATTGTTTGGGGGGAGGCATGGCGGTCTCCAGTAATTTGTAAAATCCTTTAGAAAAGCTGGCGAGCTTCACGTGTGCAGTGGACGCCAGGTTTCTTGCCTGGGGCAGCAGCAGACAACTGCCTTACAGCTGGCACTGCACACCTCTGGGGTCTGGGTGGGTGGTGGCAGCCGTGGAAGTCAAGCCAGAAATCTCAGAGGGCAGGTGACATTCAGGAAAACAATCAATGGTCCCTTTTTATAATGCTTTTATTTGAAAATAATCAAACTTGTGGAAAAGTTGCATGCATGGTAAAACCAGAAACCCTTTGTCCAATTTATCTACTAACATTTCAATGCATTTGTGATTTCACTTCTCCTTGTCTCTGTCTCTGCTTCTGTCTCCTTCCCTCCCTCCCCTTTCTCCCTATATATGAACACACAGAGATGAAAAACATGTGTGCATTCCTGCGTACTTGAGTTCGGTATTTCATTGTGTGTGTGTGTGTGTGTGTATATATATATATATATATATATATATATATATATATATATATATATATTTTAATTCTCACCCGAGGATATTTTTTTTCCCATTTATCTTCAGATAGAGTGGCAGGGAGGCAGAGAGAGAGAGAGAGAGAGACATCAATGTGAGAGAGACACATCTATTGGCTGCCTCCCGCACAACCCCAACCA